CTTGAGACGCGTCCTGAGATAACATTTGTTATGAGATGGTGCTATATTAAAAAATTATAAAATTATAAAAAATAATGAATCACTAATTGATTGATTGATATACATGTATATAATTTTTACATTAAGTATCCAGTAAGTGTGTTATCATGATTTTAGTTAATATGTGCAAAAGTCATTTAGTCAATCTCGACTCTTTGGCGCCCCACCTATAGGGTTGCCCGGACCCCAAGTGGGGTAAACAATGAGGTAAAGTATCTGTGCCTTTTAGGAAGTGTGGCTGCCCTAACACTGTGATTTAACCTTCCTCCAATACAACTTGATGTGACAAAAAGAACATACTGTCTATTTATGAATTTATGAATATTATGAATTGCTTCATGAATAGTCATCAACCTCTGTGACTCTATGACTATCACAACGGTCAGGCTGACATTTCTCCTTCACCATCACTTTGTTTTTTCTTTGGAAATGTGTTTTACAAAAAAAAAACAAGCTAAAGCGGCTGTGGATCAGTGGGTAGAGTCTGTGCCTCTTGACCAGTCGGTTGAGGGTTCGATCCCCAGCTGAGCAATATGTCCAATGTGTCCTTGGGCAAGACACTTAACCCTGCATTGCTCCTTCTGCTTCGGTGGCGGTGTGTGAATGGATTAGTGTTGTACTTACTCTCTGATGTACGTCGCTTTGGAAAAAACGTCTGCTCAGTGAATTGTAATTTGTAAAGCCAGATTTTCATGACATCATTGATATTTCCGAATGTAAATGGTGATGCACAACATAAAACTTACAAAAAACAATAAAGTGTAGCCATGATGAGATGCACTATAATTGCTTTCATGGATTTTATTTCAACATTCGCTAATCACTGCTGCAGTACCTTAAAGTTGTATTTTTCCATCTTGCAGAAAGTCCATCCGATGTAGGGGAGGCAGACGGCTCTATAAATAAACACAGTATGCTGCCTCCCACGCTGATGTAACGAAGGTAGAAATCAACGCTGCTCCTCCTGAAGAAACTAAAAAGGGCTGAGAACTTTTCAAAGAGTTGTTGGACAGAGTCTGGTGAAGTTACAAATCTCTTGTTTTTATAGACAGTCGGAAAAATCATTGTTAGCCCTCGATGTGATTGAGTTATGAGATATTATTGAACGCTGTTCAATAAACTTTACTGCACTATTTACATTAAAAAATATATTACTATGGTTTTCCAATATTTATTACAGCACCATTGTCCATGTAAGACCTCATTTAACTTTCTCAATACAACTTACTACTACTATTTTATTATTTGTGTGTGTGTGTGTGTGTGTGTGTGTGTGTGTGTGAGTTATGGGTGGGGGTCACAAAATAAACTCACAGTGGTCTTGATACTGTGCCATGGTGCTGAAGTAGTTTTTAGATTTGCAGCCATGCTGCCCTCTTCTGCCCGCATACAGTAATGAGATTATTCCACTGGCACTTCCTGATTTCATCCAGTAACCAGAGGCAACACGTTACTATCTTACTTCATGTGGGACTCTTGATCATATTTACACAAACTCATTTAAGCTTGTTTAGTTGTTTAAGAACTTAGAACTTCATCTTTTCATTATTATTTTTTGCAGATAGAGCATCTAAGTGAGCCCTGCTTACATTGAACATCTATAACTATCATACATATTATATGACATTATAGCCTGTTCTCTAGACCAGTAAATTATACATCATTTCTAGTAAATTATTTAGAAGTTTAGTTCAGGATTCAACACAAACGTATAAAACTAAAAATGCATTTGAATTGCTTTTCTGTTAAGAGCTGACTGGAAGGGAGGATTTCTTTCAATGGCTGTACTTCATTCATCAATCCATCCATTCATTAATTGTGCAGAGAGTCTGTGATCTCTGTAAAATAGGTCAGCCAATAAGTGCTACTTATCGAGCTGTCCACTTCAGATTGTACTCATTTGGAGAGTTTAGTGCTCTGTGATTGTCTACATGCGTCTCTACACTATAAGACACTACCACACTGACAAACATACTGAATACTTTTGCATAAAATACCTAACTAAACCTATAAAGATAATAATTATCACAACAATCTGATTATTAAACACTTTGGCATCAAAATGTTGACAGATTTGTATCCTCTAAACCTTGAGAGCAGACCTTTCATAATCCTGCATGAAGCATCCTATTCATTAAGCCTCTCCAGCTCCCTCTAGAGGACGAGTTATAACACAACAATATGAGTGCCTGTGTAGTCAATTGTCAAACACTGCTGCTCTACAGTGGAACATGGACACACTAAAATATATGTAGCTGTGGATGGAATTTCCTTTTATACAGTAGAAAAGAAATGACACTGCAGTGTAATTACATGTGTGCAATGTAGCCAGCATTTAACCAGAAAGACCCAACGTGAAATCAAACCCTGTTTAATGAAGAAGTCCATTTTTTTTATTTTTTCTGAAGTGGAATTTTAAAGAGGTGATGTTTTAAGAGGCCTGCTACATTTTAGCTCCTGCTATAGTTATATAAATTACCATGATTACTTTTATTTTGAAAGAAAATGATGTGGCACCTTTTTTTTTGGTTGTAAATAATTTTGAAATCTAACATGTTTGTTGTTTTGTCTGGGCAGTAAGAAGTGTGTGTGTGTGTGTGTGTGTGTGTGTGTGTGTGTGTGTGTGTGTGTGTGTGTGTGTGACGAATGTCTGTCTGTTTTAAAAAAGCAAACATGTCGACAGTCTGCAGCGGCTCTGTTCTGTCTCTGAATGATTTGAATAGTTCTCAGTGAACAAGGTCTTTGATTTCAATGTCACTTTAAAGTCAGACTGTTTAAACAGCTGCATACTGGATGCTGAGGCCACATGTGGAAATTACTTTCCAATGCCGCAATTTTTCTTTTATTTCCCAAGATGCTCTCGAGTCAGATGACATGAGATGACTTGATGACCTGATTGAAGGTGAGGTAAACAAGAAAAGAGGAGCAGACACATGTCTCCCATGGCCGAGCAGGATGTTTCAACAAACATTTAGATGTGCTTTACCGATTGTGTAACTATTGCACAAGAAGAATCCCCAAGTACTGTTTGATATAAGTTAGCCATCAGTATGTGTAGTTATATCAAAGATCTGTATCATAATGTTAGCAATGGTATTAAAATGTTGGCTATTAGCCACATTAAACATCACTGCTAGGTAATAAGGAAGGGCAAAGATACATTTCTTTAAGGGAAACAAAACTTAAAAACTGGATTCACTTGACCCCTTCTGAGGTAAAATACACATATTTATCTACAACCCTGTTTCCAAATAAGTTTGAATGTCGTGTAAAATGTCAATTAAAAACCTAATGTCATGGATTTCATATTTGATTGTCAGATGTTCAAACAGAGAACTTTTTTGGGGGAAAATTATTCACCAATTTTGAATTTGATGCCAGCAACACATTTCTAAAAGAAAAGTTTGGTGCGAGTCATGTTTGCGTCACCTTTTCTTTGAACAACTCTTTGTGAGCATTTTGCCAACTGAGGAAATCAATGTCTGTCGTTTTAAAGTGGAAGTCTTTAGCCCAGAGAGCGGTGTATCAAGGGTTTCTAAACAGATATCCAATATTTACTCCTCAGACACTCAGGACAGTTTTCCCTATTTGCCTCAATCTATTTGAAATGAGTCTGGACCCAGAGAAGGCAGCAGCATTTCAGGGTCTGGTTTATATATGTGTCCTCTTTGCATGCTAGAGTTTCAGTTGTAAACACAGGGATGAACTGTGTTCACCAACAATGGCTTCCTGAAGTGTTCTTGAGCCCATGCAGTGATGTCCTCTACAGAATGTATCTGTTTTCAATACAGGGTCTTATCAGGGCCAAAACATCACGACCATCCAACACTAGTTTTTGGCCTTTTCCCCTGCATCTATAGATTTCTACAGATTATTCGAATCTTTTAATGATATGATGTGATGAAGACAATGAATTCCCCCAGATTCCGTGAAATATAAGAAAAAAACGTTATTCTTAAACCGTTGCACTACTTGCCAGCACCGTCTTCCACAGAATGGTGAACCACTCCCCAGCTTTACTTCAGAAAGACTCTGCAGTGCACTCTCCCAGTTGGCAATAAACCTTATCAACTGTGAGAGGTTTTATCAGGTGTTTTTTAAGCAGTCCAGTCTTGTGTTGCCACTGTCCCAACCAGGGGAGTGTCCAGACTTTTTGGACTGGGGTGGCCCTGATCAACTTGTGCAGGGGTGGCCTGAAGTTTGTGCACACACATGAATGAAGAGCATTTATTTACCCCTTCAGTTTGCACTAATCAAATCGACTTTTAAAGAACCCAACAAAATGGCAATGTATACATCTTCTTAGCTTAATTCTTCAAGGACCAAAAACAATATGTATGTCCACAATCACAATTTAAAGTTTGCAAACTAACATATGCACACTGAAAACTGTGAGCTTCTCTCTGATTGTGAATTGTGTGTTTTAGTGATTTTTAAATTTTCTATTTTAATGTTTCCTTTTTCTCTGTCATGGTGATTTTGATGTCTTGTGTGAAGCACTTTGAATGCATGGTTGTTGAAATGTGCTATATAAATAAACTTGCCTTGTTGCAACACAGCCTGAAAAGTTGATTTCAACATAAGTCCCACCTCTGGCAAGGCAAATAGCCAATCAGAAGAGGGGCACTTTGGGTGGCCATTAAGATTTCAAGGGGGGGCCTATGCCACCCCTCTAGGCACTCCCCTGGCCCCAATTCTTGTGAAATGTGCAATCAGAATTAAATTTGTCAATAAGTGTTTTATTTTTTCAATTCTCAGTTTCAATACTTTACATGTTGTCTTTGTGCTTTTTTCATAGCCTTTTTTTAAATATGTGGTTTATCATTTACACAGCAGCCCAACTTTTGTTTGGAAATTGGGTTTTAAATAGAACATACATTTTTCTGAATGATGCATCCTTGGCAGTGTGGGGATTAAACTCTTTAACCATCATTTAACAACAGAAGAACACTGCAGCACACTGATCTTTAAAATAGATTTTATTTATCATTTTGTAATTCAACAGTTTACGATATACAGCGGACAGGACTAAGACATTTCAATGGATTTTGGCCCTAAAGGTTGAAGAACAAGAACAGACATGGTTAGATAGATAAGACAGATAGATATGATAGAGAAGAACTGAGTTCTCATTTCTCACTTGTGCTTTTCCTCTCCACGCCTCCAACAGTCCAACAGTTACATTGGCAAAGCGACAACAACACAAAGTTTGTCCACTGACACCTGGACATTTACGTTATTGATTTTCTTTTGAATGGAAGTGTAAATTCTCTTTTTTTCTCCAGTTGCTTTTAAAAATAAACATAAAGTGCTGAAACGTGAGATTATGCTTCTATGCGCAGTAGTAAGTCATTTGAGAGGTAATGAGGTGAAATCACAGTTTTGTTTTAAAGAAGAGTTGTGCTTCATATTTCTGTAGAAAATGGTCCGAGCCTTCATTTAGTTCACGTTCTTCAACAGTAATGACTTTCTGCACAAACACCAAAGTGTATGATGATACTTATCAGTAAAATTATATCAATATTTAGGACATGGGTCTAATATTTGTGTTGTTTTCAGCTTATATGGAGGACCAAATTACTCTTTTAGAATCCAGATAATTCCATGTGATACAACAGGATCATACTCTAATGTTATGTATCAGATCTGCATTAAAAGTGATGGTGACTGTGAGTTAAGGGTCCTGATGCTATTTAGTTCTTGGTTACAGAGTCATTGTGGTGCTTGTTTTTGAGCATGTTGTAAAGTTCAGACAGAAAAAGCCGAACTGTTTGGATAAAGGGCCACTGACTGATATTAAAGGTAAGCAGCGATGTATGACTGTTGGCACTGCACTGTGTAAAATAGAGCTTTATATTCATCGTCATGTAGCTGCAGCCGCCATCTACACCAGAGCTCACCCTAAAAACTAACCATTCTTCTGTAGTTCAAGTTTGGATCCAAAGCTTTTTGTTTGAAAATGCTTTTTATGAGCTTGTGTGGTTTTTTTTTCTATGAATACGCCTTCATAAACAAAGTAGTCATTGAACATGGTAAACAATGATTAAAATCTGAAGATAAAATATGTACTTTTCTTTCTCTTCTTTTAGTAAAAAAAAGGTTTTGTTTTTTTTTTCTCGGTAAAAGATAGTCTGTATATTATTAGCAGAATAGGACTCGGCTAGTTCTGAGATTAGAGGTACATCGACATCAATACTGACACTAGCTCCTGCGCTACATGCAGGTTTAGCAGTAAGAGCTAATCCACTACACATAGAGTACACAATACACCTGACGTCATCTACAGTACACTACAAGAAAAATGACAAATCAAAATCAAAATGAAACAATGCCCGCCCTCCCTCAACCAGCAAAAAACACACCCCAAAAAATAAAAGCAAAGGTAAACACACACATACACACACAGTCCGATTATATATTTTTACATTACTGTACAAAGGGAGGAAGAGTTGTGGGGTCAGCAGAGATGGTAGGGGTTGGGATATATAGAGAGATAGCATGGTGGCTATAAGCTTCACTTACTACGGCATGAACACATGAGACACGCGATCACAAACAGGAGACAGTCTGTGCTATGACCGGTCGCTTAAACACTGAGAATAATACGTTCAATATCAAATAAAACCTCATTTTAAAAGTGTAACGTTCCTCAGGTGGAAAAATTCTACTCTCAGGAAGGAATGCAATACACTTAGATTATGTATAATGATAATGTTTTGTTTCATAGAGCACCTGGTTTTGCAGTCATTTAATCACAAATGAATGCTACTACAAAACTTGTCATGATTTGTGAAGAGATATGAATGAAAACAGTTTAAACAGATCACTTACTAGCAACCAAACCTACAAGTCTCCGCCTAAAATCAAATATATGAACCTAAAATGTGATCGCCTTCCTTTAAAAAGAGTTTGTTAAAAACTGTGTGCTTGTTTCAGAATACTCTCACTGTGCGTCTCATGAATTGTTTTATTTTATTGTAGCCTCTGTGCTTATCATTGACCTCAAGTTTGATACTTTTAACAGTGTAAGCCACAGGGAGACTTGTGTCTATGGGCCTTTTTAAATTCAGTTCACAGCTAAACCACTATTGTGCCTTTACTACCCTGAGTCTCAGCATCACCCCATCTAGTGGATGAGTGGAGCAACTGCATGTTAATCTTGAATTCAGTTTCTTAAATTCCTCTTCTTAAAACATGATTGTGGGTGAATAGAAAGAGAAGAGAGAATGTGCAGAGCTTAAATTGTGCGTAAACGTTTCAGAATAAGGCTAAAAGCCTGACAAGCATGAGAAAATATTACTGTTTACAAAAGAGAAGTTCAAAAAATGTGGAAGCTAGCTTCCTTTAAGACGAGAAGATTTGATACTACTGCCATGTCTGCAGTATATGAAACTGTAGCTAGCAGTTGCTTAGTTTAGTCAAGCTTATCATTGGGTTAAGACTGAAAACAATCAGCAAACCTGACTATGTCAAAAAGTAACATATTTGACCTCGGCCAGTATCTGGCTAGCTTAGTTTAGCATTAAGACTGGAAACAGGTGGCTAGTCTAGCTCTGTAAAACAAGCAACCTACCAGGCTGGCAGGGCCTGTACCTGGTTAGTTTAGCTTAGCAATAAGACTGGAAACTAAGCTAGCCTGGCTCTGTCTTTCAAAGGTACACCAATCAACCTACCAACCGCTTGTTAGCTTAATTTAGCATTACAGCTAGAAACAGGACAACAGCAAATCTGACTCTGTCCTAGGTTTAAACAATCCATCTACCAGCACCACAAAAGCTTCATGTCAAACGACAATTTGCTGATTTACACAAAGTTGGCCGGGACCATTCAGTGGGCAAGCAGCACATGAGTTTATGAATATTAAATAAACAAGATGCGAAACAATACATGATCATTTGTAAGGTGCTCGTAGATTAAACAGCCCACCTCTCACAAGTATTTTTTCTAAACTAAGCTAACCATGTGGTGTTGTCTCCAGCTTCATATTTATAGTAAAGACACAAAAGTGGTATCAATCTTCTCATCTCTCAGTGAGGATGTAAAGAGTGTAGTGACAACAAATACGTTTGCTGTATGTTTTGCAGTATGTTTGTTATATTTGATTTTGTATATCATCTGAATATGTTCCATGCTCATACTGGTATTATCTTCTCAATTTGATTCCTGTTTAATCAGCTCAGAAACAAAACAAAAATGAAACTACAAAGTGAACAAACACCAAAGCCAATCCTGATGCAATCCACACAAAAAAATCCTCCCTGCCTGCGAAGCTAACATCATCTCTCTACCACCTGAGCAGACAAAGAAGCATGTGATCACACAGCTGTCTAGATGACAACATAACAAAACTCTCTTCATGTATTTGTTCTGTTTTAGACTGCCAGCACACTGCTACAAATGTCCTGGATGCTCTCCAGTCAGACACTTGTGGAAAAACCCAACCCTGCATGCTAAAGAGCCCCTCTCTGTCCTGTCACACCCTCCTACACAACAGCAACAAGTCAAGTCACAGATGAGGAATGGTAAACATGGTTAATTATGATTCTGTAGTTTTTATGTTTTTGTACAAAATAAACATATTCTGTCTTTATAATTATTTACTAAGTTACTTTACAATAATGAGAGGTAAAAAGGTGAATTATACTGAGAGAACAATACTATACAGCTACATTTAAAACTACATTATTCACTTAAAATGATTTTATTCTTCTGGAAACAAGCTACATCTCTCTCTCTCTCTGCTTCCTGTCTCTCCACCAGTCACAGCTTGGCTCAGAGCTTTAAGATAAATGCCTGTAAATACATTAAAGGTTCCACTGACTGACACCAAACCAGTCCGAGATAAACAGTATAAATGTTACCAAAAACATGTGCAGGACTCAGGTAACTCAGGTTATGTTTTTGGTAACATGCCATAATGGGGCAGATTGCTACGACCCACAGGGAGACACAGACTACGACACACCTATGATCCTTTCACCTGCTACTTTCCTCCTTCATAAGACCCTATCCCAAGATGCATTTCACTCAAAAAAGAATGCCTGGAAGACTTAAGAAGAGATGGCACTTCTATGTACAGAGTTGCATCCACCGGTTTCCTGCGTATGTGTGGGTGCTTATAGAAGAAAGTTAGGTGGTTTCAGTCCCTATATTTGTAACAGGCTACCTTGGTGGAGACAAGGTTTCCACAGGCGAGGAACAAACCACAAAGTTAATCTTCGATTGGACCCTGAGAAATGGGCGCTGGGATCTCTTCTGTCAAAAGATAGGAAACAAATGCGCTGTGTGTCTGTGTGAATGCAGAAGAAGACGGTACAGTACTCTCCAGTGACATTTCAAAGTTGAAGCAGCTTTAGTGGAAAAGTTACAAATGAGATTTCCACAGATGATCAGCCTTAAGTGTCAGTTACCATCTCGGGTGTTTGTTAAATATTTGTGCTCTGTAGAACGATTTTAAGAAGGAAGCAGCATAAAAACAACAACAAGCTTAGTCTTAAGCTGAGATCAACTATGGTTGAGGTCACTGTGTGCTGTAAAATGTACAATAGTGTGAGTGTTTGAGTGTGAATGAGTTTATCCGCCTCTTTTTCTGGCCTTTTTTTTCTCCTTTTTATCTGTCAGCATCGTCACACTGTAAACGACCAGTACAGGCACAGTTTACCAGCACCTCCCATCGTTACAAGTCTCCAGCTGTCAAGGACTGCTGGTAGAAAGTCGCCGACTCCAAACACACCCATCTAACTGAATAAAGGAGAACAGCGTGTGTCTCTATGTTGCTGCTGCATGCACAAAACAAACACATGCAGCGTCAAAATCTACTGTACCTCTAACTGCATATGAAGATGACATGTACAAGTTTTACAAAAAAAATAGGAAAGGAAAAACAAACTGCATTATTAAATTATGTGTAACAAATTAACAACCCACCCACACGCACACACTGACAGACACACAAATCTTTTGGATGATGACCCAATTTTTTCTTCCTTTCTTTTTTTTTTTCTTCCTTTCTCTAGAGACAACACGCAGATAGATAGAAGAGGTTAGGATAGATATAATAAGCCCTTACAATATGTAAAGGTCTCCAGCGAATGGGATCTCCCCCACAGAGGACTGTGGGAAAGTGGGGTAAGGATGGAGGAGTGGGAAGGGGGGAGAAGAAGGAGATGGTGGCGCTGACGGGAGCAGGGTGCCGTCTATGCGCTGGGGTTGGGGTTGTTGTGTGTGTTGGTGGAGCCGTTGCTTCCCTGGATGGTGAGGCTGATTTCATCCTTCCTCTCCTTCTCCTTTTCTGTCTCCTTCTCTTCCTCCTTCTGCTCTTCCTTCAGCTCCTCTTTCTCCTTTAGGGGACGAGCCTCCACTGTGTCTTCAGAGGCCATGGGGGCGTAGTGGCCTGTCCGGTGCTCCTGCAGGGCGGGGCCCCACTTTGCATGGGGTTTGCAAGCGTTCTTCAACCGCTGGGATAGAAGGCGAAAGAGACACATGTTATGTAGAGTGGTCTCATTGTGCAGGCAAAGACCACAGAAATAAAGATGTGTCCAATCAACTCAGGTCTGGCTTTGGAACTAAAATAGCAAATATACACATTAACTGATTTACAACAACAATTAAGACCATCAAAACCATCCCAAACTAACCACCAGTTTGGGTCCAAGACACAGGCACCCTCTCTGCTTCTTTAAACTTTTCCTTGTTTTGGACCAGTCCTCAGACATGCTGCTATAGGCCTAGACTGCCAGGGTACTTGAAACACGAGCTCCTGTCACCTCCTCTTTCTCTATCTGCATGCATACATGTCATATTAATGCATCTCACTAAATTTGTATCTTAGATAGATAGATTTACTTTACTGATCCCAAACTGGGAAATTGTGGACCTTTATATCTTGTGCAGAGTTTTGGTGCTCTCTTATTTTCATGTCGACATTATTATTGCCGTTGTTATTATCAGTCCATTTTATTATTGTATCATTATTAATATATATGTCCTCCCATCTGTCTGTCTGTTTTTTTATCCTCTATTCATCTCTTTCCTTTTTGTTGTTTTTTACTGTTTTCTGACTACACCTTTTTTTTTACTCGTTCCAAACAAAGAAATCAATAAATCAATCAATAAATCTCACTCTCTATCCCACTCTCTCTGCTGGTGGCAGATGGCTGTTCACCGATATGCCCAGTTGTGATTTGTAGTCTGTTGGGGCCCAAGGCAAAAAAACATTCCCAGGGGGCCCTTCCAAACATCAGTCATCCTCATTATGTTATAAGTAATCTGACACCAACACTATTTTTTTAGCGGAAGTTATGTTATTAAAGTGTCTCTCGTCCATATTTAGGGCTAGACGAGCATCATTCAGTCACATACTATAATATGAGTGAGTAAAATGGGGCCCCTTTAGGGAGGTTTCCCACTGTCAATGCAAGTGTTGCACATGTTGAGCCACTGCTGTGGTTTTAGGTTTATCAGCCCTTGGGGGCCCCCTACTGGCCTGGGGCCTCAAGCAGTTGCTTGCATTAGCTGTTGACAAGCAGCGCCTCTTGATATGTCTGGTTCTGCTCTGCCTGTTAAAAGGACGGTTTTCCTTCCCACAGTTGCTAAGTGATTGCTCATGATGGATTAATACCCAAAATCTATCGTGTCATGAGATAAGTTGTTATTTGACGCAAGAAATTAAAATTGATTGTAAATAAGTATATACTGATAAATACGAATATTACCAACAGTTGCTATTGACATGTGGCAGTCTTTTCTTTTACAGATACGTAGAGGGTGTAAGTGGGCTTATGTTCCACGGGGTTCAAAGCAGAATTGCTACAGAAAATGCTGTGGGTTGTGCTGTACCTCTCTGAAAGTGGCTCCTGGGGACCTGGAGATCTTGTAGAGGGCATAGATGGGTATGCAGAGCACTGAGGACATAGCCATGCAGAAGCCGATACCCAGGGACCAGCCGGGGTACACATAGTCATTGTAAGTGATGGGCTTGTACTGGATCACTGTGAAGATCAGGATGAACTGCACAGACACAAGAGAGAGTGATGAGTGATGTATAGTGAATGCATGAGGGTTTTACATCTGTCAGAATGTGTTTCTTTAATTGGGCTCCCTCACAGTGTACCATCACAAGAGTGTTGTCATTCATAATCAAACACAGCTATACACCATGATAACTTGGGATAAATCAATACCTGTTCATAGCTAAGTCAAAAAAGGTTGTTTTTACTTTAACAATGGCAAGAAAAGCTTCTTGAGACCTGCATTAGCAAAATGCAGGTGAAATCTCAACAGCATGCTAGCATGTTTTATTGTGAATTGCAGGTAATCTTGAAGTCATGACTGCGTCTGACAGTGAGTTAGTGACCATTTTAACAGAGGCCTTTGGAGAGCAGGGCAAAAATCTGTGAAGTGCAATGAAAGCGAGAACAAAAGCGTCAAAAATCTGATCAGTAATCCACAACAATGCATTTCTTGGTTGGCTCAGCAGCTTAGTGGGCTAATGCTGCTGCCTGCTTGGGAAATAGCATTGATAGCAGCTGCATGTGTCCATTTTCCCAGACAAATATTTTCTCTTAGAGTTTTATACAAAACAGATTAGTGCTGATTGCAGCTCAAAATGTAGGTCAGGTCTCTAGCACTGTGTCAGCGACAAATGAAAGTTCAAAACCTCAGCAATCACTGTGTGGTTTGTTTCCAGTAACAATCAAATCTTCACACATGTTTATGTGACCTGTTTATTAGTGTGTGTGTGTGTGTGTGTGTGTGTGTGTGTGTGTGTGTGTTCACTTACAGAGATAATGACGGGGGAGATGAATCTCCAGCACACTTTGAAGAAAAGAGGAGGAGGGAAACCCAGCATCATCTCCACATCTTTAAAGTAGCGCTTGTGGCCTGCAGTAAAAACACAAAGTTTTTAAAATATAAAATATGTACAAACACTTTAAAGTAGATAATAAAAGTACAGTCAGCATGTGGTTGTTTTACTGTCTCTATTAAATACAGTACTCTCAAGATTGAGAAGTGAGTCCGCTGTTGATAATTCTTTGTGATGAGCTATGAAGTTTGATTGATTGTTGTCTGTAGTCACAGAAACGTGTGTGTTGCTGATCTGTCTCCGAGATGGTGTAAGACTCCCACACTGCTGTCAGATTCTGACCATAAACAAATCAGAGCTCGTCCAACAGGTGACTTTTCTGACCAATAATAAACCTCTTCTCTGGATCAGGTAAACCAGCTTACCAGCAACAAATTGATGCAACACATCAGATACACATCAGCTACTGACATCGGTGTATGTCAAATCATTTGCCTATGGGTCAGTGTTTGTCAGAAAGGCTGATATCAACCGATACCTCGGGGCCTCACCATCTGCCACATATCCATTTTTTTATTTACTAAATGATGTCATCAGCATTCACAGGGGGGAGACAATGACTGCTGTTGAAAGTTACTTTTTTAAAGCATGATGGAATAAATTGCTTTTGGTTAGACTTGCCCTTGATAACTTTAAGTTATGTGTGATTTTCCTGATAACATAAAATCTTCCTTCCTTATTTTCCACCATAGGGTCAGGCTGGTGTGAAAGCCGGCTCTAATCCTCTGATGATAAACGTTAAATACCGTCTGTATATAAGCTTAAAGCTTTCAGCTGTACAGGTTCATAATTCTGCACAGAGTGTCTTCTAAAGTTGACTGGTCTTCTGATGTCAGGCTGCCTGTTGGATACTGGAACAGGAAGATTCCCACTACTATCCTCACAGGACGATCTTATCTTTACAGCCATCAGGATTTTCCGTTTTTTTTTAGGAAGCCCCAAAATCAATTCCATTGTGGTGTTTTTAAAGGGATGACTCTGGCATGCATTTTATCTTTGTCATCTCACTGCTGATATCAGACTGTGGGTCTGCTGCCAAGATGCTGATGAATTTACTTCTGATTGAAAAAAAAAAAACTGATGCAAAGAATTATCACAACAAGCGAAAAAATATAGTTGATTAATCCTGAAACCTTCATATGTACCCTGAATGGCATCATACAAAATGTAAATATGGGTTCAGTGTCTGACAGTATAAAAAGAAATATTTATCTGTCATTCATCTACTCATGACTGTGCTGTCTGCAACATGTTTGCACTATTTCAACAGTGTCTTAATATGTAGCCTGAGGTGGGGGGTACTATCTTAATCCAGCCCTGAAGCTGTTTAAATTTGCTGAGTGTGCAGAAAAGACAAGTAAAGCAAGAAAAAAAAAAATCCCAGTCGTACTGAAAAACATCTACAGGCAGTATTGTAAGCTGCAGTGATTGAAGATGTCAGATTCTTTTATAAAGATCTTTTCTGTGTGATTGATTAGTTTGGATGCATCATGGAGAGTTTTCAATTAAGCTCACACTTCTTGATAAAAATATAATTTTGACATCATTTTGAAACTAAAGTACTGACAATGTGTGGAATTTTTCATCCTCTTCTATGATTCCATCTTAAACTATTACTTTGTCCATGCTTGACCCAAACAAACTAACAGCTACTGTTTATATACTGGTGATCCCCAAACCATATGGTCTAAATCTTCCCCCAGCATGTTTTTAAAGAAGCCACCGTATAAAAAAAGTATGTCATTCAACGTTTATTTAAATCTCTAAGAATCATTGATGGCATGCCCTAACTTTTTTTTAATGATGTCGAGAGTACAACTAAACAGAATACACAACAAAATAAATAAAAATAACAGCAACAGTAAAACAGTTTCATTCAAAAGTACAGTCGTTTTTAACTGACCCATAGGTACCAATGTGTGGAGTTTGAATTCATGCTGCAAAGTGTTTCATGTGAATGCATCAGAGAATTTAACAAGCAGTTTTTCCAAGAATTAAGTGTCCTGTGGGACTTCGGGCTTCAGCCAGTTAATAGAACGTTTTGAGTGTTGTCTTGAGACTGGTTTAATAAAGAAGTGATTTATGGCGGCAATGAAGTGTGAAGTAACTGTCACCTAAAATCAATCTGATGGGGGAGGGATACATTAAATTTAAGGGAGCAAGACAATGTCGCCATAATCCAGAATCCAGTTTTCTGATGAGAATCAGGAAGTTAATTTTGTTTCGGTAGAGGAAACACATTTTTTGTCGTAATTTGGTGGCCAGAGTATCAACTTGGAATTTGAATCACAGGTCTTTATCCCAACTGGGAGGAGACCCCGGGGCAGACCCGGAACACGCTGGAGGGATTATATATCCCGTCTAGCCTGGGAACACCTCGGAATCCCCCAGGAGGAGCTGGAAAGCGTTGCTGGGGAGAGGGAAGTCTAAGTGGAAGAAAATGGATGGATGGTCTTTATCCAACCAGACATATAAATATATATTTATATTCAGACTCTTTCAATTTTGATTCCTGTCAAAGTGGTGATCTGTAAACCATAATCTGCAACGTCTCTGGCTCTAGAGAAAAACATGTCTGGTTTGTATTGAGAACCAGTTTCAGATTAAACAGAGCATTGATTATAAGATTGTTGGAGAGTTTGAATGACTGAATATGTAGTGTTTGCAAAGCAGTACAGAACTGTATTGTCGGCTTAAAGGTGGGTGTTAAAGTTTGTTATGACAAATGTAATATTGTTCATGTATATTGTAAATAAAACAGGACCCATTATTGAACCTTGCGGAACCCCCTTTAATAATGGAAAAAAACATGGAAGGATTATTACCAATCACTGTCCTAGACACAGAATCAAAACCTACCTCATTCAGCCCCAGACAGGGGAAAGAAATTGGCCAATGTATCAAACACTCAGAAAATAACATTTATGAATCAAGGAACAGTCAACCCTCCTCATATTCAGTGTATATCCCTGCTTACCGTAAATGTACATGATGCAGATGCACATAATGCAGGAGATGATGACCAAAGAGAAACTAGCAGCATAGTTGTCCATCAGAAGCAACCAATAGATTCCTGCCTGCACACAGAAAACAGAGAATGAGTAAAAAAACTCTCACCATTTCAGAGAACAAGCTGTGTTTCAAGATATTTCAAAATTTGTGTTTGGGACTTACTTGTGTAGTTAGCGGCACTCCCAGTAAGAATCCGATTACAGCCACTGACAGTGTAACAACAGTTTTGTTCCGCATGATCCAGTCTGTTCCAATCTCGTCGACCACGGCTGTTACCAGAGTCTCCAGTAGACAGAACTACAAGAGCGGGGAAAAAAGGTTTAAGGATCAAATAAATCAAAGATTAAACTGCAAATGTGTGGGTCACATTTGTTCTGTTAAGAAACGTACAGGGGTACCACGATCCTAAAGGAGCTCTGACAAATAAACAGAAATAGTTTAACAATTTAGGAAGGAGTGGAAAATAGTGACAACTTCAGGCATTAATAAAAGCCTTTTGTCTATAATAGCTTACAAGTTATAACAATGGCAATGCTATAATATTGCTAGCAGCACTGTAAACTGTACTTTGGGTCCAGTGGTCAACTGTTAATGCAAGCATTTTCCCATTTGAAAGAGGGATAATGTCTTCACTTTACAATTTAAGAGTGTAATAGGCAGTAAACACAAAGTGAAGCTGATGGGAGATCAAGCATATATGCACATCTGTTGTCGTCATAAACCAATTTTTTACACACAAGGGAATGTCATAGATTTAACACAGATAACAATTCAAGCTGGGGGTTCATATTTTAGAGTTTGGGGCACTTCACTGAAAAATCACAACAAGTGGTGGCTCAAGAGTCATGGATACATCTGAACATCTGTACAACATTTGGAGGCCATCAGTCTAGTTGAATTAGGGATATTTCACCAGATTACTTTTAACTTTGACTTGTTGGGGGTGCTAGATGAAAAGGCAAGGTTAATTCAGCTTCATCCTGGGTATCTTTACATAATACCACAGAAATCCATCCAATAAATGATAAGATATTTCTGAACAAATAAGTCAACCAACTATTCTAAAGTAGAAACAAATCAAGACTGCACACAATCAACATCATTTATGTAAAACACAATAAGACTCTAGATACTTTTGATCCTTAAAGTGATGACCATATATTTGAAAAGTAAAGGGTAGACTTTTTGAAATGTTTGGCTGTATGAGACCTAGGAATCGTCAAAACTGTCTCCCTGATCCAGTAATAAATAATATGTAGCCTTCAGAGTTGACTTGAAAACAGCCCAACTGTTCCAAGGTAAGATTCATAAAGACCGAAATTAGCATGAACACTTCAAATGCAAAAATATGCAATTTGCACTCATTGTCATATTTACTTCAAACATGACTCAAAAAACAAACAAACACATATTTCAGAGTTAAGCGTTGATGTATGAGTGTGGTGCAAACACAGCCTATCAGTGTGTAGTTTTTCCAGCCTCACCTGAGTGCCCAGTCCAAGCAGGATGAGCATAAAGAAGAAGAGCAGCGACCAGAGCGGAGAGATAGGGAGCAGAGTGAGGGCTTCTGGGTAAGCAACGAAGGCCAGGCCCGGGCCGTGGTCAGCCACCTCCGACACGGGACGTTCAGGTTGTGCGCCATGAAGCCCAGGATAGAGAAAATGACGAAGCCTGCATACACGCTGGTCGCACAGTTGGTAATAGAGATGATGATGCTGTCTCTGTTTGTAGGAAAGAAAACGAGAAAAAATTAAGGCAAAAAGCGAACAGTTCAAAAACAAAATGGGATACGTTTGCAACTTGAAACCAGAACAAAAAAAAGTAAAAGTGTTGACGCCCCGAGGATGTGATCAACCTCAGACAAACATTTAACAGTTCTGATAAATGAAGTACAAGCTATACATCTGCAAATTCTGACAGAGCATCTCTCCTGAATACTTCAACCTTTTTCTTACTTTGACTCATTTTAAATAGAAATATTCGTCACACATCTATTTTCAAAGGTCAGGTGCGTAGGAGAGTAAAAAAAAAAGGTAAAGACAAACTCCTACACACCGTCTAACAAAGAAACATTTATTGGCAACGCGAACATACAACATTGTTGTTTTGGTATGTGTGCTCTCAGTCAGGAAGCTGATGTTTATTTGTGATTCAGAGCTGAAGTCATGATGGTGAATGATGATTTGCTTTAGCCCATTTGCAGATTCTGATGATTGGTTGCAGGCTTGTAGCCACTTCCTATTTAAAATGTCCTGTCTGTTTTTACAAACCATTACCCTGATGAAGGTCTAGTACCAGCACGTCACCAATAAATGATTCCCCGCACATTGTAAATTTGTCTAATTTGGCAGAAGCTTTTTCTAAACTGACACACTGACTCATCAAGAAATATTCAAGTACACAGCAAATACCATTTAATTCTATTCTTGCAATTTCTAAAATAAATGATGACCAAGCGATCTTCCTTTAACTGAGGGCCAAACCATCCAAGATTTCACGTTTTGTAATTATCTCCGTTTAAGTCTGTATTCCTCCACAAATGACAATCTAACAGAACAGTTTTGTAAATATATCTACTGATTGTGAGCTGACAAAGTGCACAGCCTGTGCTACGTGCTTTTATTATATATTATTAAAAAGGTCTGAGTCTCTTAGTCTATGATTAGAATATAGAGAATATGTTATCCTTCTGATTTATTATCCGGGGAAACTTGTTCAGTTTGACAGATTTCAATGTTACCAGATCTAACCTAAAGTCTACTGTTTAAAAGTCAACATGACTCAGAGGGAGAATCAACATTTCCGTTTACCCTATAAAAGGATGAAAAGCCATGTGCTCAGGTTCTTTCCATTGAAGCTAGCAGCCCTTGTTCTGCTTGCTGCCGAAGATGTGAACAGATAATATTTTTTCATCTTTCTTTTCTCTGACTTTTACTCAGATTCAACAAGGGAGTTTGTGGTTGCATGGGGCTTTGTTTCCTCACATTTCCTGTTTCCTGTTATCACAGAGGATGCCTTTGATGGCTTTGATTTTTCAGCCTCTCTCGCAGCTTCTCTAGAAACACCAATCAAACCTCTGCTAGGTCCAACGCTCTCTGCACTTCTGCATGTGCACCGATTGGAGATGTCACAGGAGAGCAGCGAGCGGGCTCCACAGAGACAGAGCTGCAGAACACAAGCTGATTAGGCCGCCATGCAGCTGTGTGTGCAGATAGCACAACCTCGAGCTCCTGGCAGAGGAACAAATTATATCTTCATTCCGCCTCCTCACCCCCTCTACCCCCTCCCTCTGTCAGTATGTGTGGACAAGCTCAGGAGAGTGACATCTTTGTCTCTCCTTATCTCCTCCCCTGTCCCCCTTCCTCAGTCCTAACCTCCTCCTCAGCCTCTTGCTTCCTTCACTTGTTGTTTTTAACACGTTGCAAGTAGCCTCTTAACACAAGTCCAAAAAACGTTAACACTGTGCCTTCTCCAGTCCCACCTTATCCCACCTTCTCCCCCTTCTCCTTTCAGACCTGAAGACTTGAAGTTGCTCCTCGTTGTGTCTATCACTCTCTGGCCCTGACTCTCCGAGAGGTGCTATTTAGCCTGCACAACCTGAAACCACTTCTCCTCTTCCTCTACCTGGATATCTTTTCCCCCTGTAGAGTTAAGGTGATGCCTTTAAAATGCCTTCAGTGTGGAGGACTAACCTGAAGCAGTTGTTGTGGAACTTGTTATAGGAAGCCATAGTGATGAGACCGCCCCAGGCACAGCCCAGAGAGTAGAAGATCTGCGACGCTGCGTCTCCCCACACCTACAAAAACAAGCCCACGTGCAGTCAGAGGAAGACACAAAAAGGACATTCATATTTCCAGTTTATCCATCTGCCTGTTCTTGGGAAATACCTTTGCATCGAGGACCTTCTGCCACTGGGGAGTCAGGTAGTACATGATACCGTTGACGGCTCCGTCCAGGGTGATGCCACGGATGAAGAGGATGGTCAACACCACATACGGGAATGTGGCTGTGAAGTACACAACCTGGACACACACACACACACACACACACACACACACACACACACACACACACACACACACACACACACACACACACACACACAGGTGATCAGACAGTTTGTGGAAATCTGAAGTAAAACAAATACATATCTGTGCATGAAAAGATGAATATGATGCTGTTTGAATAGGATCTGATTTTGAAGTTGGTTAAGTCCTGCTGTCTATGTGTGTATTTGAGTGTGTGTGTGTGTGTGTGTGTGTGTGTGTGTGTGTGTGTATTTGTGTGTGTGTGGGAGGCTGACCTTTCCAGAGGATTTAACGCCCCGGATGAGACAGAGGAAGACAACAAACCAGGAAATGGCCAGGCAGCCCAGGATGGGAAGACGCACCTCTCCAAAGTTCCCGATACCATCAGAGATGTTCAACACATAATGTCTGACAAAGAGAGACAGACAGGCTGAAGTGAGGACGGGTCCCTTTATGTTACCTCCCTCTTATAAACAGAAAGACAATCATAATGCAAACACTTTTAAAAAAATCAGAGATAATCCAGTTGGACACTTTTACAACTCTGCTGAGCAAACTTGGAGCTTTGTAGTGCTTCTATATCATGAATGAGTCTGTCACACAGGACAGTGCAGTATTTTTTACTCTGGCTCCGTTATTAACAAAATAAAATCAGGATAGAAGCAGAGAATACGAGGCTGCATCTCCAGAAACAGGAAGCAGAGACAAGAGACAAGTGTTTTTATTCAAAATAGCCATTTAAGGCAGTTATTTTTCTGAATTAAAACGATACCAACAGTCATCAGGATTACAAATAAAATCTTCACATAATTGTAAAACGGTCGTATCGTCTCATCTGCCTCTGCAGTGTTTCTCTGCGGATGATTACAGTATTTTCAGGACAAAGAGAAAGGAGGACAAATGCAGGCTCCAACAATGCCGATGATAATTGTCGTAGATCTGGTGGTTTTATAAAAGGAGCGCTGTAATCAGGATTATTACACGAGAGAGAATCTGAGCATTTTATGTGCCAAAGATACCTGAGGCTTAACAAACACCTGTCTGAACGTAGATTTGAAGACAAAACACAGTCATTCAACTTGTTGTGTTGAAATAGATCAACTGAAGCTGAAACTGTGAAAGCTTCTGTTAAACCAGTGTAATGATGTTGGCCGTGTCCTGACTTTCAATCAATTAAGCTTTATTTATATAGCACCTTTCATACGAATCAAATGCAATTTAAAGTGCTTTACAGTGACTGAAAACAAGAAACATAAAATATTGACAAAACAGGGTAGAGATAAAAATTGATTTAGAAGTAGAGAAGTAGAGACTAGACTAATGCACACCAATAGGAAATAACAAATATGTAGTTAAAACAAAAAAGATAAAAAATTAAAAAATATATATGTATATATATATATTTTAATGTATATATATATATATACACACACACTGTATAATTATATATAAAACCCCTACATAAAAGCCAGACTGAGTAGGTATTTTCAGATCCTCCAGCAGACTCTTCCAGCGCCTTGGAGCGTAGTGGCTGAAAGCAGCATCACCAAATGTTTTTGTCTTACTTTGTGGAACAACTAAACAATTTGAAATGCACTTTGCCCCTTTCTTTGGTGTTTTCATGCCCAGTGCATGAAATCAAAAGTGTAAGGCTCAGATGCAAAAAGATAACAAAAAAAAAAGACCAAGTACTTTGAGTTTTCTGTTGTATCTTTCATCATACTGATTGACACAATTCTTATCCCCAAATCAAGCTCTTTTGGTGAAACCTGTTCCTTTTTTGATTATGTCAATAAACATCCAATGAGCAGGGTCGATCAGCAGGCTACTGTTTGTCTGACTCATATTTGGCGGGGTTTATCAACGAGCACACTGCAATTGTTAATTCAAACAGCAGAGTGGATATGTGACTTATGTCTACATGTTAAGATCCACTATGGGGACTAAGATGAATTCATGTGCAACTGAATTGCTTTAAAAAGACTATAAATTAAACTGGTTTGTTACACAATCTGTGCTCTTCAACTTAAAGTGACAGAAGCTGACAATGAAATATCTTTGAGAGAGATAAGTTGTCTCTCCTTTTAATCAAATTAATCAGATGTGTAATGTGACAGAGAGGACAACTGAATACCTCACCCTGCTCTTCAACAAACCCTTCTTACACCGTGCAGCTTGTGCATGGTTTTACATCCAATCATGGCCCCATCGGCATTAGGACCTAAAACGTTACATTCTGGCTGTCAGATACTTCATGCAGGTGGCCCACTGTGGCCACGAAATGTTCTCCCCAAACAGAAAGTCTTCACTAAACCTATATCAGGTCCTCAAGCGTCCTGATTCCTTTGTGCTAGTGTTAGCAGAAGCTGATGCTCTGACTCTCAAACTGCTGCAGCAGAAAGAAGAGCTTGAGCAGGTGTGGCACAAGAACACACACTTAAACCGAAAGTGGGCACTGTGCTTCACTGTTCTGTTGCTACCTCTGTGGCTTTTCACTTTTAGAATTGACCCCCACACTAATCAGAGGTATGAAGGAGTCTTTCCTGAAAATGGTTCACTGAACTACGGATAGGTGAGAGGAGACATGTCCAAAGAACTGGATCTGTAAATGTGTTTCAATTTGTGTGTTTAAATCGTCACAGTGCAGGAATGCTCTGTTAACTTGCTCTCAATTATGACAATATTTGCCTTTATATTAATGCTAAGTGTCATTAACAAGACAACAATATCAACAAGAGAGTGGAGAAGAACACACTGGTGAAGAGAGTTTCAGGAGTTTTGTGTGAAAGCCCTATTTGAGAGTTAATAGCTCATCCATCAGGAACTTACTTCCAGTACTCCTCACTGGGGCTGGTTCTCTTGGTGCGGTTCACCACCTCAGTAACTCCTGCTACCAGGCTCGTTGTAGCGTTAGCCAGGCTGGCGTTGAGGTGCCGGCTGTTCTCCAGCACCCCGCTGCAGTCCGCTGTGTTCCAGGGGTTGTTGCAGTATGTCCACGGCAGCAGGTTTGTCATGGACATGAAGAAGTAGTAGAAGGCGATGCAGATGACCACGTTGTAATAGATTCCGATGTAGGTGGACACCACCATCATGCCGTAGCCCACACCTGAGGGGAGAGGAGGAGAAAACATGGAGAGGAAGTTTAAATGAAAGATCTGGGAAGGATGAAGGCCAAATCCTTTGTTACAGATGTAAAGACGGACTATTTGTTTAGATCATCACTGTGTCCATCCAGATACCTGACAAAAATGTGCAAGTTTGTATTGTGTAGTTGTATAAATCCTCCATGACAGCTTTTCTTCATCCTAAAAGCTACTTAAATAAGAACAACAACAGAGATCATGATGATGGTGTGTTGAGAAACTTCTCTAGCACGATATCAATAGTAATAAAAATATCACCAAAAGAAGATCATAGATATACTCATCCTAATAAATAAAAAAAACCTGAATAAGAAGCCTTGTAATGTAAAGTAATTATGTCCATAAAACATGAATGTTTGTGTGTGATCTATGTAAGCACACAAACACACAGACACTGACCTTTGAACATGGGACTGATCTTCCAAACACCCAGACATCCCTGGCTGGCGAACTGACCGAAAGACAGCTCGAGGAAGAAGAGGGGAATGCCGCAGAACACCAGCATGATGAAATACGGTAACATGAAGGCACCTGAGGGGAGAGACATGACAGGTGTGTTTGAGTTCCAGGAAGAAGTTCCATTAAATGAACCTCATGAAGACTCAATGGTTTTAATAAAGTGTCTGAAGGAAGTCACACTATTCTAAGATGTGACATTTCTGTTATTTATTCATTAGTGCTGAATTCATTTTATATAAGAACACATTGTGTTACATGAGAACAAATAGAAGCCCTCCAGGTATACACTGTGGCAGCTCCATACTGTACTGTTGTCTGACAATTTAGTTATTACAGTAGAATTAAATGAGCAAGACTGCTACATGTCTTTTTATTTTTTGGTTCATCCGATGTCTCAACTGACTAAGAATGAAAATGCACAGTGTAGAGATTTGATCTCTTTATAAGGACATGTGGGTAAAATCACATTTAAGCAGGAAAATAACACTTTAAGTTTTCATTAAAACAATTTTAGCCATGAAAAATGTGGAAATGTGTAAATAAATACAATAAGCTACAAAACTAAAGAAAATGCCACAATATACATAACACATTTTGTTACCGCAAAAACTAGACATTGGCCGTGTGATTGGAGTGTAATATAGAAAAACTTTTAAGATATTGCGGGCTGCAGAAAAAAAAAGAAAAGCAAACATAAACCTCATCTGCTCTGGTAACCGCCCCATGAGAGAGCAGAGAGGTCACTGCATGTGCAGCTGAGTCCGTTCAGTGGAGCAGCAACTCTCCAGAGGTTCAGGCTGGACCAGAAACCAGACAGAACTCAATGGGGAATGTCTGTGTGTGTGTGTGTGTGTGTGTGTGTGTGTGTGTGTGTGTGTGTGTGTGTGTGTGTTTTTATATGAGCATCGGCATGTGAAGTAGGTCGGTGTGACCAGCTGATACTGTACAATACCAAAAACCTTATCATTGTGTGGGAGCTGCTGGTGAAGCTCTCCTGTGTTTCAGGTAATGTATGGCCCACATGTATTGAGTCCTTGTATGGAAACGTAGGTATTTTGCATGTATAGGACTCATACAAATATTTGCAGTGCAAATGTCACCGAGACAACATAATTTAGTATGCAAATAGTTGAAATTCAGAGGTTTGTTTTACAGAACCTTGAATATTATAAACAGACATATCAATGGGTTTATTTACAGCTGATGCCACTCAGTAGTTAGTGCCACTCAGTGTATGTGCTCTCTGAGCTGGTTTTAATATATGGTATAAGTTGCTGTGAGTTGTGTTGGGATTAAACGTGTCAGTGGAACAACTTTACATATACTTTAATTGGTGGCCATGTCAAAACATTGCTTTCTGAAACTCTAAATCCTTCCCTAGATATATAATCCGTTTTGATTTTATGAAAGATGAGAGTTATTCACAATAAGGGGCAGGACTGATAAGGCTTAAGGCTTCAGCTTCAGCTCTTTTCCTGTTAAAGGTTGAACAAATGTCAGTTTGAGACAGCATTTCTAATATGGTGACCGCCACTGATGGGCTTCAATCCTCTGCTTTAGGTGACTCCACTGAAACTACAACCATGTTTAAATACAGTCTATGCACTTGACTATAGAGTCTATAGTCGTTGGCTGGTAGCTTAATATAATCACCACCCCCTGTGATTCGCTCACTGGGAATGCATTCTCCTGCTGCGTTCTCACATCCCCACTTCACACAGATATTTTACACGGGGTATTGCAGGGAAAATTCCAGGTTAAGTTTGAGTGAAAAAATATGGCTGTTTGCATTCACACATACAGCTCATCCAATAACTATCAGCACGTTTTGTGCAGGTTTGAAAACACAACAACATCAAATAAAAAAAAAGAAGGTTCCATTATCAACACACATTTTCCGAGTTTTCAGTACATCAATAAGTCCCCCATCTCCCCCTGTGCATTGTATGTTTTTTTAACACATTCAAACTGTACTCTAATGCATTGGTTCCAAACTGGGGTCCTATAGCTTCCTAGAGATCTTGGGGGTGAGGCTCTTTCTGCTCTGAGGTTGTCAAAAGCCCTCGGCTCTAATGCATTCAAGATCTAGAAATGTAGCACTTAAAAGAGTCAAACACTTGGTCAATAAAAATCAACCTCGCTCTACATTTCAATATTTACCTCCTCCATTTCTGTAGCAGAGGTAGGGAAACCTCCAGACGTTGCCCAGGCCCACAGCGTAGCCCACGCTGGTGAGGACAAACTCAATCTGGTTGCCCCAGTTCCCTCTCCGGGAGTTTTCATCCTTCTTCACCGGCTCGCCTGGAACTGCTCCGTTCTACAACAAAGACAGGGAGAGAGAGGGGGAGGTGAGTTCAGGTGACGGGGAGGCAAATGTGTCTTTGAGATAGTGCTGCAGCAGGTCCAACAGCAGCACTCGACTCATAACATACCGACTTCTTTTTAAGCACAGTACTGAAGAGAGGAGCATCCTGAAAGGTCATTTTTGTCCATTTTGGCCAAATCAGATTGAGCAGTAAGGTGTATATGAAGTAGCATGTCCATCAGTATGATGCCAGGATGGTAAATAATGAAGAGAATTATTCATATACCAGGCTCACGGTTATTGAATATAAATAAGTCTCCTCTACCATAAAGAGTAGCATAAGGTGGGAGCGCTGGAGCAGACGGGATGTAAAGTGAAATCAGCGCCTTAAGAGCAGCCGATAAGCATTCGGTCTTGTCGTTCTGATTTGGAGCTTCTCCTCTCCTCTCCTCCCTCCCTCCATCACTCCATCTGCTGGCATCAGATGGTCCCTCTCTCCTGACCTCTTCCATAACCTCAGCTGGGTCTGTCCGTGTGTTTATGGGCGCACATGAACACACTCGTGATCCAGCAGAAATATGAATAACTGCTAATTTGATCATTTGGACACTTTTTCCTGAAGGGCATTTCTAGGATACAGGAAAGTAAGACATCCAGACTTGCTGCTCTTTTAACAGTGACAAACAAGTTGAAATAGTGTATTGATCTTTGTGGTTTTCTTTAGAATTTGCTTCAATTACGGCAATTTAAAGATAAATGGACACAGATAGCAGGGTACGTACAGCAGAAAGAAAGAACAAACACACTTTTTTGCAACGAGGCGTGTGTGAACAAAGGTTTTCCTTGATGTCAGCTTTACGTGGAAATTGAAGGACATATCCTAAACAAAAACCACTTCCAGATTCTTAACAACGGATGTCAGGCTGATGCTATTTAGAGCTGTTATATCATCAGATAATGTATCTCTAAGGTGTTGGGGCCAAGCACAATAACATCAGTTCAACTGTCTTTTTTTAAAGCAGCAGACAGATGCTGGTCATATTGGTCTGGATGTCTTTGAGGCATGCTTTGAGGTAAGTTAATTGCACAACAATGACGTTTTATGGAATGTTTACTCACATGTACCAGAGGAAGCATGCATTGGGTAAAAACAATTGGTCCGAGTACTGAGCCCTGGAAACTCCATTATAGACAACTTACTGTAAACTTGGACAGACTTAAATCCACCTGATAAAAATGATTCAACCAAACTAAGATCCACTGATGCCAATTCATTGCTCTAGATTTTTTTTTTTGAGATTTATTGGAGAGATAGGACAGTGAATAGAGCTGGAAATGAGGTCGGATTCAAACCCAGGCCGCCCACTTGGAGGACTATAGCCTCTGTACATGGGGCGCACGCAGTAACCATTACTCCACCTGCACCCTCCAATTGTTCTAGAGTCTGTAACAGGATTTCAGAATTAATTCTGTCAAATCCAGCTCTAGGATCTAACAGGACAAGTTCAGGGATCAGTCCGCTGTCTGAAGCATTCAGAGATCATTTAAAAAGCTTTCACTAGTGCTGTCTCAGTGCTGCAGTGGTTAACTCTAAACGCTGCCTAACAATCTTAAAAGTCAGTAAATAAATCCAATAACTGAGGAGCCGCGGCTTTATTGAGGATCTTGGTGATAAAGAGATGGTTTCATAAAGTTAGCTTAGGTGCTCAATCAAGAGAAGGCTTTTAGAGAAATGACATTGGTACATAGACTACTGTAGAGGACATACTGATTATGGTTGATGGTTTGAATAAAGAAATTGTTGAATTTTGGAAGGTCAGTTAAAGAGAGAAGTCCATCAGCTGTTGTATCTTTTCAAGGCAAAATGCCACATTTATGATTAAATACAATTCAGATTAAAAGGTGGGAAACTTGGGTTATTTTGGTGTCATTTTCTTACAAACACCAGAACAATGAATCAGCTTTCATGTGTTTTCATGGGTTTTCTAACTTTGCCTCAGTTAGCGTGCTGAAGAAGGCACACTGTTAAATACATAAGAACCATTTTTATTTGATTCTTTCAGTTCATATGGTGACTTATTTTGTCAATTATTGATGATCTCTGTTGAGGAAAAAAATCAAGGTCTGAAATTCTGAGTTTCAAACTGTGAAACCTGGTTTACTATTTTTGGACTGTTGTAAAGGTATCGACACAGCACTCTGGTTCAGACTTTTTCTGACCTCATATGGTCTCATAAACCTTTGCCTGCTAAGCACAGTTGAATGGCACGGCAATAAAAAACTTCATTCATTAGTTCTTGCTGCCTGTGTTATCTGTGTGTAGCAGAGCCTGATTTTCAGAGGCTCAGTGATTGAGTAGACTCAGGTTTTCAATCAGAGAAGCTTCCTGTTGGACAAATATAAGAAAACTAGTCATGAAAACACTGTTTTCTTTGCAGCGATTACTGTTTCTTTTTCTTTAAAAACATGTTCACATGAAAACAAATCTCTGTCATTACTTTTAATGTCTATGAACGACTTCACAACAAACTGCATGGAAGTGCTTTGTAAGCTGTTTAACAGTCCATACTGAGGTTTATTTGCAGCTTTATTTTTGAACAAGTTTTTGCAGCAGATTTTATTTAAGAGCAACAAAGTTACTCCACACGTTGTTCTTATTTTATGACATGACAGCAGGACATCAAGTCCCGGGGACAGCAGCTTGTGCAGACACAAACATACACACACACACACACACACACACACACACACACACACACACACACACACACTGAGCAGCATCCCTCCCAGATGAACGTGCTCTTTCGTCACAGAGTGAATTCGCGATCTTGTTCATCAGAAGAAAAATGTCAACAGAAACAACCACAGCAACTGAAAACAACATCCACACATTGCCCCCATGGTGCTGTAGTTCAGCTCTGAGGCAGCGCCAAGCGTGACTAATAAGAGAGAAATAAATATTGGAGATCAAAACAGCAACAAGCTCAGAAAACAAACAGCCAGATTATATTTCCCCCCCCAAAGCTCTGTAGTTTGTCTTTGAGTCAGGCTGTGCTCGCATGTCAGGAGGGCAAAACAAAAAAACATTTCTCCAGCATCCTAGACCTTTTGTTAGTGTCGGAGCGGAGGCTGCAGGTGGGACACATGAGAAGATCAGCAAAACACACGTGTTGTTGGTGAGGAGATGCTCAGAGTGAAGCCACAGTCACAGCGGAGTGTGAGGAGAAACCCCCAGCAGAGAGCCCGCCAATCACAGCGGGTCCCACATTGCAGCGTCTCTGTCTGGAGTTGACTTTGGAAGGAAAAGGAGCGTCACCCACACAGAGAGAGTGCAGCTGTGTGTGTGTGTGTGTGTGTGTGTGTGTGTGTGTGTGTGTGTGTGTGTGTGTTGGCTGTACATCTTGTACATCTGACTTCACTATCAGCAACCAGGTGTGTGCCTTTCAGAAGGTACACACACACAAATGTGTGTAAACACGCGGGCTGACCGCTTGGCTCAGGTCACGTGGTAACCTGACAAACACAGGGGAGAGAAAACAGTGGGAAGAGCAATGACCCCTGAATCTTTGGCGCTCACTCTCCAAACCTCAACCTGACACGTTGGAGACAGGTACACAGTGTCCATGAAGATTTTTAAACTCAGTAGCAAAGGGAAGAAGAGAAGAGAAGAGCAGAGGATGTTCTTTTACAGCACAAAGAAAGCGAGAGAGGCACTGTGCGGTATTCATGTTCAAGACATTCCATTCACTACTTTGTCCACAGGGGGCGCCAAAATCACGACAAAGCAAAAGTTCCTCACAGGAGCTTCAAAGTCATCAAAATAATCATTATTTTAGCCAGAATTTTTAAACAAAACCACACGTGTGCAAAGATCGTTCAATCATTGGACAAAAAGGTCTGGAGCGGGGTAAAGCGGTAATCGCAAAGTGAAAGTAAACCATCATGGAGATCTTGCGTGCTGCACTTTTTGTCCTGGTATTGATTTGGTTCATACAGTTACAAACGTTTGCAGAACATTTTGAGCAGCAAGAGCGTTCGATACAACATCAGCTTTATGATGCGATGCTTATCATTCTGCAACGACGCAGACGTGCAGCAAGGAGGCTGCTATGGACAGCGTGTCTCCTCGGCGCTCCATGTTGAACCATGACTAATTTTTAGCAAACAACATCACTGTGCTGCTAACTGAACAATTATTTCAGAATTAAACAACAAGGTAGGTGTGAATACACCCTTAGTTTCCAGTGGACACTGACCTGTTGTAGTGTTTTGAGCAGCCCTGTTCTCTCTCTCTCTCTCTCTGGTTCTCTCTCTCTCCCTCTGCTTGCTGTGCACCTGTGTGCAATGTGCGCTCAGGAAGGAGGAGGGGGTTTTACAGGAGGAGTGAGCAAGGTTGGGAACACACCATACACTAGATATTCAGATTGATCTGGCAACGGCAGCCTAAGATTGAAGCCAAAAGATTTAGAGCTTCCCCTGTTGACTGACTGCTTTAAACCGACACAAGAATCTGTTCTGATTTATCGGCAAATTAAATGTGTATTTTCATTGGAGGAATTGGCACAACCTCAATACCCCAGCTCTTCCAGCCAATCCCCACTGCGCAGACTCTGGTTGCAAATTGGCAATATGTCAGCACCCATCACAGGGTTATTCTGGCTTCACCCTGTTCCAGGTGGAGGAGACTGAGGCAAGCTGTCTATTTGTATATACAGTCTGTGGCACATGCACACTCTGTTCAGCATGCGGTGAGGAGCTGATTGTTCATCCCTCTAACTTTTTCCTCTTTCCCTCAAACAGGTGTTTTCTTTACCCCATGCATGTTCAGCTTGCTGGGTTTTGTTCATTTATTTTGGGCTGGAGATCACTGTAATCCTGATTTCTGTTGGTTGGCTTAGTTTTTAGGTATTTTTGGGGGGAGGCACTGGATATGAAGGTCCAATATGTTAGTCCAGCACCTCCCCATCATCTTCTGCTCATTTTGGCAGGGTTAGTCGGTTTCCTTGGTTTGT